GAGGTAGTGTCTGCCCTGATACCCCCCATCAACTGCCCCTCCCCTACCTGGGCCGCCCTGCGGGGACGGACTCTCCTCTGAGTAGGGGTCACACAGGAAGCTCTCCAGGGAGCGGATGGTACACTGGCCCACCACAGGCCTGCGGCCAAACTGGCGGTTATCAATGACCTTGACCACGATGGGGGGACAGTAGAGTTCCTCCCTGGGCAGCATCTGGGCAGAGGGAGAAGGAAGCTCTTGGCAGTGGCCTGAACCCATCTCTGGGAGGTCTCAGGGGAGAAGGGGGTACACTTCTTCACAGGACAAGTCCAGGGAGCATGGAATGATGAGAACCCCACACATAACCCCAACAGCCATAAATCCAAACGGTGGTTGGCTGAGCCCAGGAGCTGGCCAGGGAAGCAGAAGCCACACACCTCTTCTGTCTGCCTTCAGACACTGACTCTCCCCCATGGTTTTACCTTTCAAACACCCTGAACAGCCTGAAGCTAAAACAAGTCTTCTCTTCCTGAACCCTCACTGGCCAGGAAGGGGAAGAAGGAAGAAGTTGGCCGAGGACTCAACGTTTCTTGCAGACAGTTCCCCCTAAGTGGATACTCAAGAGTTGGCTTACAGACCCAGATTCTTCTCCCCCAGCCCCAGCCCCAGCCCCAAAAGCATTTTGAACGCTACTTGAAATAATTTATATGCTCTCCTTCGGTGGTGGCTTTGGCCCAGCCAAGAGGAGGCTCCTGTTGACAGCCACGAGGCCTGGAATTCCTACAGTGCTTTCATCCTGCAAACCGTTTTCCTTTCCTCAGACGTGCCTTACTCAGGCCACTAGGCTCAGGGCGCTGGAGAGGGCCGGGATGGGGGGAGGCCCGGGGCAGGGAAGGTTTGGAGGACTTGCAGAAGGTCAGAGCCCCGGTGTGCCCCTTAGGGGAGCTGCAGAGAACAGACCTTCCCTGAAAGGAAGATAGCCACAGATGGGCCCTTGGGACTTCTGTGGGTGCAGGATCTGCGTAGGAGGGAGCAGGCTGGCCCCATTTTTTTTCTATGCTGCTCACAGGCTTCAGCTATTCCAGTGAGGAAAATGAGCATTTCCTCCCCATTTTTAAGGTGAGAGGTGAGAGAGATACTGTGACCTAGCCAGGATCCCTCAAGGAGGCAGAGCAAATGCCCAGGCTGCGTGGCATCCTGAGGAAATACTAGGCCCCATGACTGAGGAGGGGACAGCAGAGATGCCGGGCTCACCACTTCCATGAAGAGGGTGCAGACATCGAAGTTGGGGTTCTTCCGCAGGTTCCTGATGACACAGGACTGCACCGTCTGGCCCCCGCACTCCACCACAAGGCTTGGGGAGGAGACACTAGCCAGCTGGTAACTCTTCATGTTCCGCAGTCCCCATGCCAGAATCTGGGGACACAGAGTGACACAAGAAGCTAGAAAGGCCCCAGACCCTGAGAAAAGCTGGAGCTAAGAAGGGGAAGTGCGGCTGCCCCAAATACCTGCCTGCCCTGCCCCAGGCCGGCTCACCTCGATGGCGGTACGCTGGAGAACTGGCTGGATGTTGCGGGGAACCATGTAGATGTTGGCCTCCCTCTGCGGTGGTGGGTAGGGCAGGTCTGTGTCCTCTGACTGCAGGGCATGGCAGGCACAATGGGGACAGCGGTGGCAGGAAGGCCAAGGCAGAGAGGCAAAAAATGGAAAAGGAAAGATGGGACCAAAAGGACATGCACGGAGGGACACACAGAGAAGCAGATGGGCAGATGGGCAGGCAGAAACAAGAGGGGTGAAGAACTGGGTCGGTTGGGGCTACGCAGTCACAATTTGAACCCCTTGGACCAGGGTTCGGGTCACCCTGTTTCATATGAACCCCAGGTTGTCCTCCTCCATAACGCAGGCTCTGAGCTGCTCAGGGTCTCCCCACCCCTAAAACACACACACTGCCCCCTTTATTCTGGGGTGGCTGCTTCAGCCTCTCTTGGTCATATCTCTAGAATTGGCCACTCTCAAAAACCAAACCGCTTTTTTCCAGAAACTGAGAAACCCTCTGCTTTAAGCATCAGTCCAATGACCTGTGTATCAGGAGAGAAACTGAGGTGACATTATCATGTGCAGCAGGCCTGTCCCAGGAACTGGGCAAATGATGGTGAGAAGGCTCATCAGCAGAGAGAAGGTGCAACCGAGGAAGGAGACGGGAGACACCAAGACAGAAGCTGGACCCGGCAACAGCATGTTTGCCTGTGGGGAGGAGTCCACAGCTGGACCCACAGCCAGGACCTGGTGAACACAGCAGTGGGGGCTGTGAGAATGAAACAGGATGCCGAGAACTGCAGGTGGGACAAACAGGAGCCGAGAGACATCCAAATTCTGCCAGACCTCTTATCCCCCCAGCCCCCAAGGCCAGGACAGTCCCTCCTATGTGCCCTGGGGGAGTGGACAGGGAATGGAGCCCTGCTAGAGTTATCTGACAAGCTGTTTGGGACTGGAATCCACTGTCTCCTGGATTTGCCTAGGATGCCCCATCCTTCCACGTGCCAGGAGAGGCAGAGTGAGTGACAGATTCCCTGGACCAGCCAGATCAGATCAGGAGATCACAGAGAAAAACACATTACAAAATCAGTTTTCCCCAAAACCCCCATCAGACCCCATTAGGCCAGGGCTTCCTAAAGGCCAGGACTGGTCTCCGTGTTGGCCCCTTGGGACTCCTTGAGAACAGGGCTATGTCTCCTCCATCAGACAGGGAGCTGGACAGGGGGCAGGGTCCAAGCCTCCTTCATCAGATTAAGCAGATTTCACTTCCTTCTTCTCCTTGCCCACCTCTGAGTCCTTGGAAGCCCAGCCTCTCCCCATGTGGGCATGCCTCCAGGAGCCCAGATCCCAGCTCCCCATCCTCTGCCTGGCCAGCAGCTCTAGCCAGAGTGGCCACGTGCTTCCATGAAGAGCACAGACCCTGCTCTGGCTCAGACCCCAGCCCGGGTTCACTCGTGTCAACGCCAGGAGGATGTCCAGACTGGGCCTCCTCATCGTCTGCCTCTGGCTGTGCTCCTAGCCAGCAGGATCCAAAATAGTCCCTCTCCATCTGAGTCTGTAGACATTTTGAGGACAGCACACACAGAATGGAAATCCTGCCGGGCAAGCCCTGCACTTTCCTGCATAGACTCAGATGGCCCAGTGAAGGGGTGGAAAACAGGAGCCAGGATTGGGCAGCCTGGGGTGCAGGGCTAATTATCTGCCCGATTCAGCTCCCACACCTACCCAGGCCAGAAGGCACGAGTACTGAGTGTAGCTGAACCCTGTGTAGGGGGCCATCTGAAATTTCCATTCGGGCTTCACTGGTCAAGAGAAGCTCTTCCTTAGACCCATACTGAGAGTAGACAGGTCATCCATGCATCCACCCACCCACCCATCATCCAGGCAGGCTCATTCAATGCCTCCTTTAACAATCCCTGTGCTGGGCATTGAGGATACAGAGACACCCCAGTCACTGCCCTAAGCCCTGTCTGGGGAAGCTGCTGACATTGACAGAGATGAACAGGACCGATGGCAAATACAGTGACTAAGATAGATAGGACTTGCTGGAGCAGAGGCGGAGCCAGGGAAGAATCCTGAAAGGTGGTGGCCACACCTAAGTGGAACCTAAAGAATGACCGGGAGTAAGCCAGAAGGTGTCCCCAGCAGAAAGGATGGTGGGGCAGAGCCACAAGGTGGCAGAAGTAGAGAGCTGGGGACTTCTGAGGACTCTCAGCATTAGTGAGGCTGCAGAGCAAAACCCCTTGTCTCAGCAGCAGCGAGGTCCAGGGCTGGGCACCAGAGAGGTTCCCTTCAAGTGGCAGAAAGAGGAATGACATGAGCGAGTGAGAAAGCGGCAGAAATCAGCTGTAAATGTCACAGGGAAGCCCCCATAAACACATGTCCAGGGGCAGCTTTTAGCATCCTGAGCCCAACCCAGCACCCCAGTTTGTTTTCTTGCTCTCAAGGCCAGTATGTAGTTGATGGTTTAAAGAAAACAGAAACTTCCTGAAGTGCCACACTATCCCTGGGTGAATAAACAGGCTGTGGGCCTGAGGACATAAGTATTGTTTACACAGGCTGGGAGGCTCTGCCTCCAGGCAGCCCAGAAGCACTGGAAGCCCCAGGTGCCAGGGGTGTGACCAGCGTCATGCAAAGCTGAGAGGATGGTGACAACCCGGAACAGGCACAAGTTCAAAGCTGGTGAGGCCTCACAGTGAGGCCCTTTTCCATCCCCACTGTGGGAAGGACTGGGTGATCTCAGCCCTACAACACCCAGAACCACCCTAGGGCCCAAGGTGGGGAGGGTACCCTACCTCAATGAGAAATGCCTCACACCTCCTGCCATGCCATTTGGCATGGCATCTGGGTCACCAGCTGACCCTAGGTTGCTGAGCACATAGCAAAGAGATGCCTCTTAGCTGCCCACAGGGTTGGATACCCTTGGAATAAGGCCCCTCTCTTGCCCCTGCCCTTCCTTTCCCTGGAGGTGGGGGGCAAGGGAAAGAGGCACTACAGGCTTGGACACACCCCTCCTTTTGAGGGGCCTCCAACATGCCACCAAGCAAAAGCCCATAGAAGACTCGACTCCAGAGATGGTCCTGGCTGGGGTCAGTAAGGCGATGGGGCTGGAGCACCCCTGAGCCTGCCCAGTCACCCCCTCCCGTCTTCCTTCTCTCCCCTTTTCTCCATGCACCCTGATTTCCCAGGTGATCGCCAGGGAGAGCCCTCAAAATAGCCCTCAAGGTAGAGGAGCTACTATTCCACACACTTTGGGAAAAATGATTGAGTCTTACCCAGAAGATTACAGAGCCTCACTGGAACGCCCCTCCACCCTGCTTCCGACCAGACTGAAAACTCCCTCCTGGGCCCCTCTGTACAGTGCGCAGCCACCAGGGTGCAGAGGGAGATGTGTTCGGAGGAGGGGACGAGGAGTGGGAGGGTCGGGGTAGGCGAGGGACAGTAAAGGCACGGTCCCTCTTGGCAGGACCCAGTGCCCATCCTACCTGGATGGGGATGAGGGGCTCCTTGTCGTCAATGTCGACGAGCACGTCCTCCCCAGGACTGAGTAAGCTCACATCATCTGGAGGGGAGAGGGGAGTCCAGGCCTGAGCGGGGCTCCCTCAGGGCGCTCGCCCCCCTCAGCCACAAGGCTCAGGGAGGGAACCATGAGACAAAAGGCCCTCGGTCTCCTCACCCCTCTCAATCTCGGTCTTCCTCTTCCTCCCACCCAGTCCTTGCCCTCCTGTCTGTCTCCCATCTTCCTTCACACTCCCTGTCTCTCCAAGTCCCTCTCCCCCTCGTCCCATTGAATCCCTGCCTCCCTCCCTCCCTCACGGCCCCCCGCCACTGCCCACTGCAGCCCTCGCCTCTCAGCTCCACTGGCAGTGCCATGTGCTCCTGGCATGCCCAGCTTAGAGTAAGGCAACAATGCACTGAGGAAGACAAGCCCCCAGCCTTCTGGGCCGCCAAGCAGAAACCACTGCTCATCCAGGTCCTGGTAAGAGGAGGGCTTCAGGACGCCTCTCCTGGGAGGTAGTGTCTGCCCTGATACCCCCCATCAACTGCCCCTCCCCTACCTGGGCCGCCCTGCGGGGACGGACTCTCCTCTGAGTAGGGGTCACACAGGAAGCTCTCCAGGGAGCGGATGGTACACTGGCCCACCACAGGCCTGCGGCCAAACTGGCGGTTATCAATGACCTTGACCACGATGGGGGGACAGTAGAGTTCCTCCCTGGGCAGCATCTGGGCAGAGGGAGAAGGAAGCTCTTGGCAGTGGCCTGAACCCATCTCTGGGAGGTCTCAGGGGAGAAGGGGGTACACTTCTTCACAGGACAAGTCCAGGGAGCATGGAATGATGAGAACCCCACACATAACCCCAACAGCCATAAATCCAAACGGTGGTTGGCTGAGCCCAGGAGCTGGCCAGGGAAGCAGAAGCCACACACCTCTTCTGTCTGCCTTCAGACACTGACTCTCCCCCATGGTTTTACCTTTCAAACACCCTGAACAGCCTGAAGCTAAAACAAGTCTTCTCTTCCTGAACCCTCACTGGCCAGGAAGGGGAAGAAGGAAGAAGTTGGCCGAGGACTCAACGTTTCTTGCAGACAGTCCCCCCTAAGTGGATACTCAAGAGTTGGCTTACAGACCCAGATTCTTCTCCCCCAGCCCCAGCCCCAGCCCCAAAAGCATTTTGAACGCTACTTGAAATAATTTATATGCTCTCCTTCGGTGGTGGCTTTGGCCCAGCCAAGAGGAGGCTCCTGTTGACAGCCACGAGGCCTGGAATTCCTACAGTGCTTTCATCCTGCAAACCGTTTTCCTTTCCTCAGACGTGCCTTACTCAGGCCACTAGGCTCAGGGCGCTGGAGAGGGCCGGGATGGGGGGAGGCCCGGGGCAGGGAAGGTTTGGAGGACTTGCAGAAGGTCAGAGCCCCGGTGTGCCCCTTAGGGGAGCTGCAGAGAACAGACCTTCCCTGAAAGGAAGATAGCCACAGATGGGCCCTTGGGACTTCTGTGGGTGCAGGATCTGCATAGGAGGGAGCAGGCTGGCCCCATTTTTTTTCTATGCTGCTCACAGGCTTCAGCTATTCCAGTGAGGAAAATGAGCATTTCCTCCCCATTTTTAAGGTGAGAGGTGAGAGAGATACTGTGACCTAGCCAGGATCCCTCAAGGAGGCAGAGCAAATGCCCAGGCTGCGTGGCATCCTGAGGAAATACTAGGCCCCATGACTGAGGAGGGGACAGCAGAGATGCCGGGCTCACCACTTCCATGAAGAGGGTGCAGACATCGAAGTTGGGGTTCTTCCGCAGGTTCCTGATGACACAGGACTGCACCGTCTGGCCCCCGCACTCCACCACAAGGCTTGGGGAGGAGACACTAGCCAGCTGGTAACTCTTCATGTTCCGCAGTCCCCATGCCAGAATCTGGGGACACAGAGTGACACAAGAAGCTAGAAAGGCCCCAGACCCTGAGAAAAGCTGGAGCTAAGAAGGGGAAGTGCGGCTGCCCCAAATACCTGCCTGCCCTGCCCCAGGCCGGCTCACCTCGATGGCGGTACGCTGGAGAACTGGCTGGATGTTGCGGGGAACCATGTAGATGTTGGCCTCCCTCTGCGGTGGTGGGTAGGGCAGGTCTGTGTCCTCTGACTGCAGGGCATGGCAGGCACAATGGGGACAGCGGTGGCAGGAAGGCCAAGGCAGAGAGGCAAAAAATGGAAAAGGAAAGATGGGACCAAAAGGACATGCACGGAGGGACACACAGAGAAGCAGATGGGCAGATGGGCAGGCAGAAACAAGAGGGGTGAAGAACTGGATCGGTTGGGGCTACGCAGTCACAATTTGAACCCCTTGGACCAGGGTTCGGGTCACCCTGTTTCATATGAACCCCAGGTTGTCCTCCTCCATAACGCAGGCTCTGAGCTGCTCAGGGTCTCCCCACCCCTAAAACACACACACTGCCCACTTTATTCTGGGGTGGCTGCTTCAGCCTCTCTTGGTCACGGAGGGGACCGTGCACCCTCCCACTAGCCTGGTTCTCCTGCCTCCTGGATCAGAGCCTCCCGAATTACCATCCCCTGGCAGTGCCCCCTCTCCATCCCCCACACACCCACTAGCCTCAAACCCCCACCTCTCACACCTGCCCCCAGGAGAACAGAACACTTGTACTGTGGGCCAGAGAGAGTATGGGCAAATGAGAGAGGAGGCGTAAATATCCATCATCCCAGGCACCAAAGGGTGTTGCCAGGGAGGCTCCTTTACCACCACAGGCCAGGGAGGAGTGTCCTGTGTCAGTTCTGCCTGCTCAGGATCTGCCAAAAAGACTTGGGCAGGAATCCCCAGGGACTACAGAGAAATACACAGGGAAGCAGATGGGGCAAGGGAGGTGGACACTGCAGGGGATGAGGCAACTACCGATGCTCACAGTGCTGAGAAACACAGGCTCTGATCCACCCGTTACTGAGTTAAATAAGTTATTTCACCTCCTTACGGCTCAATTATGGTTATTAAAAATGATCAACCCTTAAAGGTTAGTGTGAGGCTCGAAGAAGCTAATACAACACTTAGAAGAATGCTTGGTTCATATAAACTCTCAAAAGGACTACTAGCCAATGTGGCACCTTTGTGACAGTTAGAGAAAGATGTCCCTTTCTTAAGACTCTTTACTTCCACATCAGAAAACCATGTTTTACTGGTTTATTAGAACAGGACACTTTACTGCCACCTACTGGAAAATTGTTATAATAAATACAAATATATGATGTCTGTATGGGACATTGTATCCCCTTAGACACAGTGCCCTTGTGCAGTGCACAACCTGCACGTCCACACACATAGATTCTGACACTCAGGAACTGTTAACCATCATTAAAAGGGCTGTGCTGGATACTTACAGAGCATCCCTATATAATCTCATTTAATGAACAATGGAGTCATGGATTCATTCCCCAAGTGACTTGTTCTGGGCTCCTCCCCAAAGGATGGTGCATCCACCTACAGGTGCTCTGACAAAGACGGTGGGAGCAGCTGGGGCACTGAAGTATAACAGCTTCCTCCTGTCTCCATGAATCACTTCACAACCAACCCCAGCTGTCACTCCTGCCCAACGACGTACTGACAACACTACACTTCGCTGACCTGTAGCGATGAGACGGTCATTTCCAGAATCAGGCAGACCTCAGTGCTAGTCTAGTTCCAGCTCTGCTGCTTCCAAGCAGTTTGACCTTGGGCAAATTACTTGGCCTCTGTGACTCAGTACCCTCATATGGAGATCCAGGATAACAATAGCCTTACGAAGCTGCACTGAGAATTCAATGAGACAACAAATATAAAGAATACCTGGCACCTAATCGGTGCTTAAGAACAGTAGTGACCACAAGGATCCATCTGTTGTTGGCAGTGCCACTATCTATACCATCAGTGTTACTGTTGGCCTCCCAGGGTGACTTGAGGAGAACTGAGCCCTCAGGAGCATCTCTCAGAACAACACTGTCTTAATAATTCCCCCTACATCACCAGGGCACAAAGTGAAGGAATTCGTCATCTTCTGCTGGATCCACAAAGCAGGTGACATGATGTAGGAAGCACCACCATCTTTAGACTGGCTGAATGACAAATCCCATCAGGAGGAGGGTGGTGTGCAGAGCTGCCAGGGGGCACAACTCCAGGGGGTGCTGTGCACAGCTCAGGCCACATGGGTGGTGCTCTGGAGGGTGGTGGCAGGGCCTGTGCTGTGCCTGAGACTGAGGCCAGCCCACTGTGGGCCGAGGGTCAAAAACCCAAGGTAGAAAAAGAGAAAAAGAAGGGCTCAGGGAAGGAACAGCCCCAAGCTCCCCGGGTGGGGAGGCAGAAAGACCAAGCCTTTCTCACATGGTTGCATGAGAAATCACCCAGGAAAACTCATTAATATATTCCTCGCCAGAACATTCCTCTCCAGGCCCCAAACTCTGAGCAGCAACCCTGTGATCCCTGTTTATTCCTCATTTCCATGCTCTGTCTTCCCTTCCAGGCTCCCTTGAGCTCCGTGGTGATGACATCTTTGTATGCTGAGGTTCCTAATTTTTGGGAACCTGTTTCCAGAGGAGAACAGGGAACAAGAACCTTGAGGAGGACAGGCTCCAGTACCGTTTGGAGGAGGCCCTGGAGGAAGAAGGCAGGTGCACACAGCTGCAGAGTGCCAGGCCCAGCCGAGGCAGGAGGGAGAGACAAGCAGAGACAGTGGTTAGAGGTCTGGCTGCAGGCAGCTTTCTCGGGACCATTCTCATCCCAAAGCCACCACTGTCCACCTCGCTGTCCCCAGGGACCCCAGGACATCCTGGCTCTCTACCATTTGTTACCACTCCCCAGGTTCTCTGCCTCTGTAGGGCCCTGCCTGCCTGGCCACAAGCTGCCACCCCAGTCCTCCAGCCCCTCCCGGTTGTGCGCACTGCACTGCCGTCAGTCACTGTGGCATTATGGCTGCACATCTGTACCTAGTCTCTCTTGTTCACAAGCCCAGTCTTATTTAGTCCTTCTCAATTCTTCACACTCTCTGGTGGGTCTTCCTTTCCCACGCAAACACAGTCTCTCAGCTCCATCACCAACCTGCTGCGTCCTGCAGAGGCTCTCCTCCCTCTCCTGTCTCTCCTCCTGAAAAGGACTGCCTCCATCCACTGCCTCCCCTCCCTTCCAAGCGCCCTTCTGCCCAGCACCCTCAGCTCTGCCCCCTGAGCCACATCCCAGAAACTTCCCTGTCCAGAGTCATCAACAACCTGCTTGTAGCTCAACCCAAAGGTGGCTCGTGGGCTGCCATCTCCCTCACTCCCTCGGCAGCATCCAGCCGGCTGACCTCGGTCTCCTTCCTCAGACTACCTCTCTGGCTCCACATGGCTAGCCTCTCCACCTTCTCTCTCCTCTGCTTGCTGCCCAGCCCTCTCCTAGGCTTTCTGCTCCCAAACATCACTACTGAGTCCCATAGCCACATTCCCAACCTCTTAATGTTTAATCCATGTGTCATACTGGCTTCTCGCACTGAGCTTGTCGGAAACCAGATTCTTTAACTTCTTCCCTCATCTCTCTTTAAATGTCATCTCAGAAACTGGCCTCACCATCCACCTTGATGGCCAAGCCAAAAAGCCCCAGAGCCCGCAGGGCTCCTTCCCGCCTCACCATGGCTGAGCGATCACCCAGTGTTGGCGACTCTGTCTCCTAAATCTCTCACATGACCTTCCACCTGTCTTGTTTCCTTGGTGGGGGCCAGCGCCCTCACTTGCTGGATTTACCAGCACTCCTAAGTGGTCTCCTTGCACCTGGCTTTGTACATCTCCTCCCAACAACCAATGCAGGCTGTACTCTGCAGCCGGGAGGAGCTTTCTAAGAATGTCACTCTTTAAAAACCCTTCAAAGTTTCTCCACCCATGCAGGATGAGATCTATACTCCTTGAGGTGGCCTCCAAGACTCCTTATCTTCTAACTCCTTCTGACTCCTCTGGTCTCATGAATCACCAGGGAACTTTCCCTTCCTGGACCCCAGATATTGATATTGATGAGCCACCACACCCAGCTCTGGACATGTTCAACGCCGGGCCTTCTACCCACACAGGTTGGAGACCCCACACCCTCCTTGCCTTTGAGGCATGGAGCTCGCCAGTTCCCCTTTCTGAGCACTCTTCTGTGCACTATATCCACCTACCTCCTAGTCAGACTCTAGGTCTGCCTTTAAATCTTGCCCGGGGTCCTGAGCTTAAGTCAAGCACCCCCATGGCCCCTCTCATGGAAAGACACATCACTCTGTGCCATTTCTATGTGTCCATTCGTCAATGTCCAGGTTAAACCAGCAATTCTGTACACAGGGACCACAGGTCAGTCCCCTGTCCAAGAAATAAAGGATTAAGAATGCATGATTGAAGTGGGGGGAATAATCCCCACAGCAGGGGGAGGTTAGGCCTGCCACCAGTAGTCCCCACCTAACCCAGTGGGGTACAGTCAGGGGACCCTCTGGACAGTCAGATCCTGGTTCCTCAGGGAGCTCCAGGTCAGGCAGCCAGGCGGGTTGGGAGGGCTCCATCGTCTGCCTGCCCCACCCAGCTCGTTAGGAACAACATGTTGCTCTAATTACACTTCCCAGGAAAAACAGTGTTTTAAATTAAGGCCTTGGGGGAGGGAATGGGGGATGGGGGACCACTGAGTTTATTTTCCTGATTGCACAACACCAAATTTTTCCTTCTAGTGGATTTGGGGGTACAGGAAAGTATCCTATGTATACCCCAAACTAAAAGCCAAACCCTGTCACTTGGATTTGGAAGGCAATGGAGTGACATCTGGTTGGCCCCCTGAGCCTGTAGCAAAAACAGCCATGGAGAAGGCCGGACCTTCTACCAGGGCATTGCCTGCCTGGGAGCAGGACAGAAGAGGCAGAGAAGGGTACTATTCCGAGGCACGCCCCCTTCAGTGGTCAGGACCGCCAGCCTGAAGGGTCCCCAGGTAGAGTCTCCCTCTGCACATGCTCCACATGCCAGGGCCCCTGGTTATGAAGGACACCGCCATGTCCTCTGCTGCCACGTGTGCACGCGTGTGTTCTTGCGAGTGCACACCCTCACACGTGCATGTGCACTCTCCAGCTCTCAGGAAATCTAAAATTGGAGTTTCTTTGAACTCATTCCCCTTGGCAGCACAGACCGCCTTTGTTCTCCAGACAAAAAGGAAAAGAAACGAGACAGAGGGCTCGGAAGAGGCGGGGAGAAGGAGGGAGAGAGGGAGCCCAGGCCATGGAGCCAACAGAGGAAGCGGGAAACAGGAAGGGAAAGCAGGAAGAGGGGAAGGCGAGAAGGCTCAGGATGGGAAACTGCAGGGACACAGCAGGACATAAAGACAGGCTGGGAAGCTGGGGAAGGAAGGTCCCTCCACCAAGCCCTCTGAGAGGACCCAGGTCTCCCAAACATCAGTCATTAAAGCTTCCAAGACCCATTGCAAGCGACCCCGGTCCCCCTCCCCCAAGCCAGGGGTTCTCCAGCTGGGCATAAGCCTAGGGGAAGGGAAATCCTGCCCAACAAACTAGCCCTGAGTGGTACACCCCAAGCCCAGGACACTGCCACCTGGACCCCCTCCCTCACCCCTTCTGCCAATCTCTGCTTCAGAAGCCAGCTCAGTGTCACCTCTTCCAGGAAGCCATCCCCACTATGCTCCATCTGCTCTGGGAGCCCTCCGCATGGACAGATGGCGGTTCATCTCATCTCTGTCTCCCACACAGGCATGGGCCGCACTGGCTGGAAGGCACTCCCCACTACAGAGGCCATCCTTAAACCATCCTTCAGTCACAAAAGCCTCCTCACTGGGCTCTCTTCCTGCCCCTCGCTCCCCAACCCACACCCCCTGCAGCCCGACAGCTTCCTAACGCATCCCTCTGCCCTCTCTGCTCCCAGGCATTCAAGGGCTCCTGGGGCCAGTGGCCCAGAATCTAAGCTCCCAGTGTAGCTTCTCACAGCCCTCTGCGAAAGCTGGAGCCTTCTTCATAGGGATTAGGCTGGGAGCCTGGAGGGTGCTGAATGGGGGATATAAGGCAGAAGCTTGGCCACCGCAAAGACAGAGAAATCCTGCTGAGGCGTCCAACTTCCTGCAGGACCTGAAGCAGCAGCAGGACTAACCTGCGTCCACCCTATCCCTGGGGGTTCTTAAAGCCAAACAGAATCCAGGCCCTTGGCATGAGGCTTAGCCTTCAAGTACGAGGGAAGTGGCTGAGTTATGGGCTGCAGGGTTGGGGAAGGAGCCCTGGGGATGAGAGTGGGGTCACAAGATCATCTTCTGGGGTTGTTCCTGGACCAGCTGATACTCTGTTGATCTTGCTGAGCCTCAGACCCTTTGAACATGCTGGCTCTGTGCAGCTCCGTGCCTAGCAAAGTCCCAAGACTTGCTCTTCTCTGGCCCTGCTGGCCCCCACCCTGCCTCAGCCTGTGGCCTGGCCGGCCCTGCAGCAGGACACTTGGCCCTCTTAGGGGTCTGGTCCAAAAGCTGCAAATTTTGATCTGCTTCCTGACAAGACCACAGTGAGATCCCTGCTCTCGGAATCTGAGCCTTCACTGTTACATATTACAAATCCAGTTATTAAGGACTTCAGCTTTTTTTTAATAACTCATCCTGAGCTGGGCCTTCTTCAGAACAGGCTGTGGGTTTTGGCCACAAAGTGCTCTCAATCAAGGGAGAGGGCTCCGTGCCGCTTCCCTGGACAGGACTCCACTTCCCTTTCCAAATCGGCAGTCTTTCGCAACTACAGCCAGAAGCAGGAGGCTGCCTGTCAGGCGCAATTACAGCCAGCTCACTTGGCGGACCCCACCTCAGTCTGGGAGCAAAAGGAAGTGAGGTAAGGGGCGCGGGGCCCGCGGATCCCACATCCTGACCCTGCTCTTCAAGTACAAATTACACTGAAAATGTCAAACAGTGTCCACTCCCAGCCTGGGGATTCCCTGATGGAAGGAAGTGGTTGCCCTTTTCCCAACTCCCCCATCTCACCAGGGCTCTCCTCCCTGTCTCTGCCCAGGCCTCTGCCCCACTCACTCACAAGGACCCACTCACCGATGTGCAGGAGGCCATAAAGGAACGTGTTCCATATCCCTCATGGCAAGGATGTAGCCTTACTTCATCAAGAAGCAAACCCAAACTTCTTCTAGAACCTAGGAATCCACAGCTCACCCCAGCCCCTAAACCAGCAAGACCCTAAACTGGAGCTTGGCCCCTTGGGCCAAAGACATGTTCCCCACTTTCTTCCCACAGCAATGTCTGGTTGATGCTACCTCCACCAGAAAGGCTTCCTTGACTACTGTGGCTCCTTATAAACATGTTATTCTTAAAAACATGCCATCTGGCATTGAACCAGATGAGACTGTATTTCTGTCCATGAGGTCTGGATGAATCTGGCCTTCAACAGGGCAACAAGCCTTCTGAGGCCAGAATCACACCAGGACACACCCCAAGCAGCCCTGGGTCCACACAGATTGTGGGCAATGAGATCCAAACTGGTCTCTACGTGGCAAACGCCCCTTGGGGTATCAGTAACCCAGAAGGTTCCAGGGCACATGCCTAAAGGCTGGCCCTTACTTTCCCTCTGTCTCTGCCCACATGCCCCCATCCATGGGCCATAGCTGTGAGGGTTCAGCTCACCTCTTCCAGTATCCCTGATGTATCCTGCACCTGGGCCACACCATGGAGTGTTCCACATCCAGGAAATGGTGAAGGGAAGAGAAATGAGAGGGTAAAAATTTACCATTAGTGACAAGGAACACTAGGCTAGGGCAGAGATCAGCACACAGATGGCACCCTAAGGAGAGCTAATATAAACCACCTCCTACCCAGGGTGAGGGGTGTTATACTTCCAGCCATGTCCTCCACGTAGTCCTTGAGAAAGAAGGTATAATGGACATTGATGCCGAGGGACCAGTAGGAGAGGCTGAAGCATAAACCAAGAGCCCAAGTATCTCTGGAAGTGACAGGAGAACAGAAAATGATAGACAGGCCTGGGACCCTGGAGCTTTGCTGGAGTATGTGGACTTGGAGAGGTGAGGAGAAGCAACCTGGATCCCCAGGGTCTGGTGGGCCTGAGAAGCAGGAGCTCCGAGTAGGCAGGAGAGGGAAAGGGTGAGAACTAGAGGGGTAAGGAAGAAGCCCAGGGTGAAACTGGGGGCAGGGGGCAAAGGAGAGCATGCATGGTGAGAACTGTCTGCAAACTGCCTGAGTTGATTTATGAGTGGAGAGACATCCTAACAGAGCCCAAATGGCCAACTGTCAAAGCTGCAGCTAAGCCTGGCCAAGATAGTATTTCCTGATTCAGATTAGCTGGGGTACCTGTAAAGGATCTGCACTTTCTGCTCTGACCCCTAGGAGAAGGAAGGGTTGCAGAGAGAAGGGAATGAAGTCCCCATCACTAGCAGAAGGAAGAAAACCATGTCACAGTGGAAACAAGTTGGGGAAGATGGTCTAAATTAGAGCTTCTGAAACTCAAGCATGTATCAAGAACCCCCTGAAGGGCTCATTAATACCCAGGCTGCTGCACACCTTCCATTTACTTCAGTGAGTTTGAAGGGGGACCCACTTCTAACAATATCCCGGGTGAGGCTGCACTGAGAACTATGGCTAAGTCAATGTTTTTCAGCCCTGGCTGCATAATAAAATCCCCTGAGCAGCATTGAAAGACACCAACACATGAGCCACACCCTAATAGATACTGTTTTGTTTGGTCTGGGGTGAGCATTTGTGATTTTTAAGGCTGCCCAAAGAATGCTAATCTGCAGCCTGGCTGAGAGACACTGGGCTTTGCCACTCGAGCTTTGTCACAAGGGACCATCATGGAAGATTGAAGGTACATAGATTGTGAGGCAAGAATCTGGGAGGGGTGGAGTGTAGGGAAAATGGAAGTTTCTGTGGCCAGGATCCTCACCTGACCCTAATATACTTGATGATGTAATTGACCTACTGAGTAGGCTAATGCTTCCACACCCATTGGCAATAAGCCAATATTGTCCCTGTTGCTATAGAAAGAGTGAAACAAGCCCAAACCCCATTGGGAACAGGGCATCTACCCCCAAAGGAGTCTACTGTGTATATCTCTCACATCCCTGAACATATTTTGGGGATAGATATCCTGCAGGGCCTATGGTTGCAGACCACTGCAGGTGAGGTCAGACTGAGGATACATGTGGTGAAGGCAGTTCTGAGGGGATGTGCTACAAGAGACCATAAGGTCTCTTCAGTCTGAGAGTCTGTGATTCTCAGGCTTCCAGGGCTCCACCCAAGCCCTCCTCTGCTTGAAGGTAGGGCAGAGGGGCTGCGAACACCTGACTGCCCTTCACAGCCCCAAGGGAGCCACAAACACAGGGAGGCTGACAATCAGTCTGAAGAGAAGGTAAAAGCAAGACTTACCTCAAATCCAGGAATATGGTGAATGGCTGGCTGTGGTGAAGGAAAAGAGAGCTTGGGTCAGGCACTGCCATCCAAGGCCCCCATCACCCTCCTTTCTGCTCTGGCCAAGCAAACACATCTCCAAACACAAAATGACACTCATGGAATACGTCAGTAGTCAGACAGTCCAGGGATTTGCAGACCCTATTCCTCGGAATGCCTAGGGACTCCTCAGGGGTGCCTAGGGGTGGTCAGGGGCACCATGTCCTGTATATGCTGTGTCCCCCCTCCATACTCTTTACCTGCAGTAGGCCTACTTCTATCTGGCTTACATTTTGGGATTCATATCACACTAAGAGCAGATTTGAAGATACGGCTTTTACTCAAACCCTATTTCACAGCAGGTGGTTGGCCCAGGGTCATGCAGCTAGGTCATGGCAGAGTCAGGACGAGAACAGAGGGTCTTCCCTTACCTGTCCCAGGAGATGCCCCCCCATCACAAGGAAGGCTCTCCCCACCCAGAAACCATTTCAGGATAGAGCTCATGGCAAAGTACACCCAATGGCCAGAGAACTCAGACATTTCAGCACTGTCCTGATTCCAAAATTCTACACCGATGTTATATCACATCCTGATTTGGGGTTCCGAAAAGATGGGCAAAACCAATTCTTGCAGGAAGCCTGACTTTCAGAGGTGGCTGTTCAGTGCTGTCCGTGGGCCCCTGATAGGGGAAGAAGGATGTATCGCAGGCTCCACCCCTCCATCAGGGAATACTCTGTCTGTGTCCCCCACTGTCCCCAGCTGGTACTCCCTGCCCGAGCCTCCTGGATCCAAACGTGAACCAGCCTCACCTTCTCTCTCTGGATGAGCTCAAAAGAGGCCAGCAGCTCACCCGCTGGCTGGCTGCCCCTGGTCAGCGGGAACCAGGCCAGCCGGGGCATCCGTTCTAGACTCGGCTCACAGATGCAGCGTCCCATAAACTCATCTGCCCCCTGGACCAGGCATGGAGAAAGAAGAGTCAGCAGTCCCCAGGCCAGGGCTCTGGGTGGTCTCAGAGCAATCGCCAGGCCTATGTTCAGCCTCCTGAACTTGAAAAGGCCTTAGGAGTCAGGGAAGCCCCAGTGAAAAACAGTGAGCTGGCCCCCCTTAGAAAGATGTGAGGACAAGTGAGTAGCCTCCTCCCGCTGCTGCTAGATGTATGCTCTCATCATGGCTGACAGTCCCTCTCTATGTCCAACCAGCATTCACCTTGCTTTAATTTACTCCAGCTCTGAGCCCACCAGGGACCAGAATGATAATCTCCTAGCATTTCTCTAATGCCCTCAGCAGTACAGGTATTTGACATTTCCAAGGACTTTTGCATCTTCTGTGCATTTCACCTCTAAATTTCCCCACTTTTCCAGATGGGGCATCTGTGATTTTTTTAAAAAATTGAGTCTCATTAAATTAAATGAGTCTTGTTAAAATGATACTTTCATCTTATCATTCCTTTGTGCAGGTACCTTCCTGAGGATAGAGTCCTCCACTGCCTAGAGGATAGAGTCCAAATATCCTCCCCACAGGGAAGGCCCTCTCACTGGAACCTGCTCACCTCTCCCACCCTGCCTCATTCTCCCAAGTCCTCTACTCTAGCCTGCTGGGTCCCCTGGCTTTTGCATGGGCCATTTCCCCCATCATACTGCCCTCTACCCTTCTCAGCCCTCACTCACAGCCTTGCCCAAGCTCAGCCCTCTGACCTGGGCCTCTGTGGCCTTCCTGGCCTTGTGGTTAGCTTTCCCGAGGGCAGGGGCAGCGGGCAGGGCCTAGGTCTCAGCCCAACAATGCCACAGCCCTCACAAGCCCTGGTGCCTTGCCCAAGGCCCTCATCTGGAGAGACCTGGAGCAGGACTGGGAAGCCTCCCCACCTGCAGTCACATCATTCTTGGGGACACCCCCATGAGCTGTGCTGGAGCAGCCAGCAGCTCTTGCCTGACTGCCCATATCAGCAGGTGACAGCCCAGCACTGACCACTCCGGGTGGACACCAGCCACAGCACTGGGAGGGGTCCTGGAGGCTCCTCTGGGCCAGGCATGGTCCCTTTAGTTTCTGGGTTGTGGAGAGCTTGTGGGGAGAGGAGTCCTTGCAGAGCCTGGGCAGCCAGGACAGCAGGAGCTCAGGACAGTGGGTATTTGCCACCAGGGACAGACTAGTTCGACTACATTAACAATGAGCACAGCTCTGATCTCCCCCAGGACCTTGAAGCCCACCCACCGATAAGGGGTCCTGGCTCTTCTCTCCCTGGCATCCCCCTAGGCATGGCCTGCAGGGGAGAGACAGGGTCAGAGCCACATCTTAAAAGGAGAGGTGGGATGCTATTGGAAGAGAGGGAATGTGTCCTGTTGGCCTCTCAGCCCTCCCTGCAGCAACATTTGCACCTGCTCCTCCTGCTTAGCTCCCTGGCCCAGCATCCTCCTGGTCCTGCCCCAAAGGTGCCAGGTTCTGTGCTCTTCCCCAAATGGCCCCAAAGAGACTCTCCCTCAAGTTGCTCATTGGAGCCAGCTTTTCCTTCCAAGGGAATTGCTCACATTTGACCCAGCCCAGGCCTGTGTTGCACACTGCTAGCTGGTCCCCACCACCTGGTAGGGTGCCCTAAACAGCATCACCTTCCCCTATCCACTGGTCACCACACCCTCCCAGAGCACCTGACATTCAGTCATGGCAACTCTTTCTGGAAGCATCTTCCAAACTCTGACCCCCCTTTTATCCACTGCCACACCCAAAGAGGCTAGGCCTCTTCACCACATGCACCATCGGCCAACAGTCCCTCTCTTCTCTCCTCTTCCTAAAATGTTGCTCTGTCCCTGTCACTCCCCTGCTCCCCTGGTCTCACACTCCTTTTTCCCCCCTTCCTAGCCTGACCCCTCCCTTCTCTGCCCTCCGCCCACCCCCATACTGTCTCTCTGCCTTGCCCCCACACCCCAATATCACACTGGTTCCCCAACTGCTCAGTCGAATATGCTGGCAGCTCCCATTTTGAACAGCACAACCACAGAGCATTTCCATCGCCTCCCATCACCATCTCCCTGGAGGGTTCTACACTCTCTCTGGGGGACTCCCAACCCCCACTAGACTGGGAACCCCAAGTGAGGAGCCACTCAGCCCAGGACACAAGTGTTTGATAAATGTTTTGAGAGTCAGTGCAGCTCTCTCAGATGGGAAGATGGGTCTGGCCTGGGATCTTATGAGCAAGTTACAGGCAGCAAAAAACCCAGGCTCCTGACCCACAGCCAAACACCCATTCCAGATCTGTCCCCTCGCTCTGCTTCAGGCACAGCACATGTGCTAGCAATCTGTTTTTAATTACTCTAAAATACTTTTCACCACTCTGTAGCCTGTGAGGTCAGGTGAGAGGCCATCAGTCCCAGACTGGGGAGTACCCATCTGGTTGGGGACTAGTCCCTCACAGCACCATTTCCCCCTGGGCCCCTGGGGCTGGGGGGCAGTGAGGGGACAAGGGAGGGAGGGAGGCAGGCAGACTCACGTAGGTGTCATGGTCATACAGCTCCACCACGATGCTGGGTGGCTGCTCAGCAATGCTGGCTGGCTCGCCAAAGATCTCAATCTCATAGAAGATGAGTGTCTGGTCCCAGGTGGGGTTCAGGGTATTCTTTGCCACCACTGTCTTCTGGCTCTGATGCAGGAAGGAGACGATTGCGTAGGGGTCTGTGCAGGCCAGATACAGAGAAGAGAGACAGGGCACAGCAGAGACCATGGGAGCTATGTGCTCAGGAGTCACACGGGCCACAATGCTGAGCAGAACTATGGCTGCCACTCTGGAACAACCAACATTCAGGCTGGAGCCCAATTCCCCAGGGACCCTCCCCGCCCTCAGTGAGGCCACCTGGTGGGCCACAGAGGGTAATGGAGCCGAGGTCAGGAGAATGGGCACAAAGGTCCACAGGACTTCCCCTTCTGGGCTCCTTCCTGGGCTGGCTGCTGGGGTCAAGGTCCAGCTGGAAGAAATGAGTGCCTGCACGGTGCATTCATTCATTCACTCATTCATTCATCCAACAAACATTTATTGAGTGTCTCTGCATGCTAGGCTAGGGGCTAGGTACTAGGAACTAGAAAGCAATTGGAGCAAAATCATAATCCATACAAGCAAACCTGAAATTGCAATTCTGATAAGTGATTTGAAGAATGGAAATAAGGTGCAGTGGAGGGACCTAGCTTCCTTAAGGAAGAGAGAGTAGAGTCATCAGACTGGTGCCTAGGTCTGCATTTCAGCTAGCTCACCCTAGCTGCCACATGGAGAACAGACTGGAGGGGGCAGAAGTGGGTGCAGGGAGACTAGTTATTAGGCTACTGCAAGGGTTCAGGTAGAGATGGTGGTGGTCTGGATGGCCAGGCTGCTAGAGAAAAGCACATGGACCCTAAAGCTAGTGTAAGAGGAAGCCTAAGGTCCTTGCAGGGATGGGATTTTCCCACAGGTTGCTACGGGGATCTTAGGTTCCCCATGCCCCAAACTCCTTCCCAGCTGCCATGTTGACATGGGACCCACCCACTGGTCACTCCCTCTGCCCAGTCCCAAATGGAAGTTGGTGTGTATCACTAGAGAAGATTCTAGAGCAGTATCTCAAACGTGAGCATGCAACAGAATCTCCTGGAAGGCTTACACAGACTGTGGGGCTCTACCCACAGAGACTCATCCATCAGGTCCAGGGTGGGGTGTGAGAACTCTGTTTTACATTTGCATTTGCATTTCTAACAAGTTCCCAGGTGGTGCTCAGGCTGCCTTCTGGGGCCACACTTTGGACACCAATGCAGAAGGTCCTATGGGACTGTGTGCATAGAATCTGGGACAGAAGCAAAGGGCTTGGAGGAGGGACATCCTCCAATTTCTCTCATTAGAATGTCAGACTGGGCACGGGGTCATTTGCCGCTATTTTGTAAGACTCAAAGTGCCAGATCACAGAGGGTAATGGACAGGGACGTCTGGGGATGCAGGAGGCTGGCATCTGGATGCTAGATATCTGGGAAGGCTGAGCCTAAATGCCCTGTACCCTTGGCACTTGCTATATCCTGCAGTGCCTTGCATCCTCTGAGCCCCATAGTCTGGCCCTGGCACTGCTCCTAACTCCCTGTGTGATCTTAAGAGGGTCTCAGCACTAGAAATTTAGTACTGGGGCTGAGATGGGGAGACAGAGTTTCCCCCCAAAGGGCAGGAAAGCAAGACAGGCTCCCCCGCCATAAGGAGACCAAATATCATGCCAGGGCCACTGCGCAGGAGGTGGCAGTATGACCATAAAAGATGTGAGAAGGCTGGGGTGGGCAATAGGAAGGTTTCAACAGGGAATGGGGAGAGCAGGGTCCAAGATTCTGGCTGTTGCCCAAGAGGCTAGTTTGAAGGGTATGGATATTTAAGTTAGGAGGCAGAAGCTACGGGCACCACTGAACAATGTTAGGTTTGGCTAACAGGAGGCAGCCACCACCCTGGGACCAGCTCATAAGCCTTCAGGTACAAAAGCACAATGGGGTCAGTCCTCGAGGACTTCCTGCAGGAAATTTTTTTGAACCTGATTCTGGGGGTAGAAGAGAGCAACGAGAGGCCCTTGGCAAGGGAAGGGGCAGGGGAGCCATGCCCACCATGTCTCTCCATCCCCATCTGATGGGAGCCTCTCTGGCATGGGGCTCCCCTTCCATGCACCAGCCCTGGCAGGGCTGGCCCCAGGCCCTTCCCGTTCTGCCCTGGCAGGGCCCAGCGGCGTCTGTGCATTTAATGAAACCGTCTGGCTGTGATACCATCAGCTCCAAGCACGGCAGAGAACCTCTCCCTGGTTCCAGTAAGGGAAAGAGGGCGCGTTCCGATAAACAAAACCATATTAGAGAGCAGGCAAAAAAGCCCCTTTTGTTCCCACCTCTCTTGTGCTTCCCAATGCTTTATTTTTATAAGCGCTCGGGCCCCAGACCGACCACGTTTACACAAAGATCACAATTGCACATTGTGGCAGCTGTACACACTGTATTGGTGCTGGCAGCACCCCCCACGTTGCCCCAGCCCCTCCAAAGGCCAACTCCTTCCAGCAGCCCCATCAGCACAAGCAATGAGCTCAGCACTGGGGGAATGGGGAGGGGGTGGCTTTCAAACAAAAAATCACCCAGACCCACATATACGCCCCACCGCCCATGGGAGGAAAACACACACAACAAAGGCATTGTAAAGAGCAGGTCTGGAGGCCCAGGGCCTCAGACACTGGGCTACTGTGTGCTGGGGCCTGGCTTCTCCCCTGACAGGGCCCAGCCCCTCCAAGAAAAAGAAACAAGGCTGGTGAGGTGTTGCTGAAGCGAGGTGGTCAGATGAAGGAAAGCCAGACAGATGCACGGACACATCTCTCTTCCAGGGGTGCCGAGAGGAGAGAGAAGCAGATCTTAAGAAAGGTGAGAGGCTGACTCGCCCCTGTCCACCCCAGCGTAAGCAGGCCCCCCAGGGCTGCTCCTACAGGACAGGGGTAGCATCAGCCCTCTGGCCTCACCCACCAAGCTGTACAGAGCACCCCCAGAACTGTGGCAGAATGTGGCTGGATCGAAGCCCTGTAAAGAACCCCCAGCTGCCCTGGGAAGCTCCAGCTAGGAACACACAAGGTTCTACTGGACTCTGTCATAAGAGGCCCCAGGCAGGTGATCTTTTGCTGGATATGGAGCCCTGCTCAGGAGCGCTGTTGCTCAGACCTTCCTGGAGCTCCAGGGAGGTCACTTCTGCACTCAAAATACACTAAGCTTTCTTCAGGGGCCTTCCCACCAACCAATTCAGACCACCGGGATGGGGGACAGGGCAAGCAGTTTCACTGACTTGTCAGAAGAGGGAGCTTCCCCGAGGAAGACCAAGTCGCTTGCGGATGCTCAAACACGGTGGGGGTGGACAGGCTAGCTCCCCTGACTCCTAGCCTAGTGCCCCTTCTACCATGCTACTCACAGGCAAAGGCCCTTTAGAAAGAGTGAAGAAGATCACCACCAGTAAGGCAGTACAAATGAAAGCTACAATAGAGTAATACTTTTCCTGTAAAATCAAGAAAAACTCTTTGGAATTGTAAGACCCAGTGTTGACAAATATTTGATGAAATAGGTACTCTCCTTTATTGCCGGAAACAATTCAGCAACTCTTAAGGAAAGCAACTGGGCAGAATGCCCTGAAAAACATAAAACTGTGTATACCCTGCTTCCCATATTCCTGGGGATCATCCAAATTAACCAAAAAGCTATATGTGCAAAGATGTTTGCTCCTGAGTTATTTGTAATCCATTATTCATTCAATATACAGTCACTGACTGGCAAGCATGTGGTAGGTAAGCATGGTGCTAGGAATATAAAAGTAAATGAAATACAATGTAGGCTCATAGGATCACGACTACTAGTTGGAGATGGTGACTAAACAGCAACAATAATACAAGGTGACATGCAACTTAACAACAGAGAGTATAAGGTACTGGGGGGTGGGGAAGGACCCCAGTGTAGCCTAGTGGCATCAAGTCAGTCTCCCCAAAGGCAGTCTCCTACCCTGAGTCTCAAAAGCAAAGAGGTTAACCAAGGCAGATCAAGGAAAAGGGTACCTTCTAGCCAAAGGCACCCAGGAGCACAGGCACCTGGGAAAAGCAAACTGCGAGGCAGGCTGAGGTGGGCGGTGGCGGGGACAGAGGAGGAGGAGGCAGGGCCAGTCACAATGGTCCTGGACTCATGCTGAGCAATTTGGACTGGATCCTGTAGATCAGTGTCTCCCAAAATGTGTTCTTCGAAATATGAGTTCTCTGGGGAGCTAATGAGCACTTAAATAGGTCCAACAGCCTCTTTCCTTCAGCCCCCTCAGAGCCTTTCCACGCCACTGTGCGCTGTAAATCTCTAAGTGTGCCATGTTTCCCAGTCTCTCCTGCTCAGGAACCCTTTTGAAGTGGAGCATTTCACAAGCATCCAATGCACTTTGGAAAATAGCTCCTTAAGCTCAGCAGGAGAATTCCCCCAACCAGAGCCAACCTTAACAGAAAGCATGCTTCTAGAGAGAGGCAGGGCCGTGACTGAAGGCCAGACATGTGAAATCCCAAAGCTAGAACTTCCCAGCCCTGTCTGGATCTGGGGGAAACTAAGGCACTGGTGCCCATAAGGGGACCTGGGCTGTGGGGCCACTGCAGTTCTTCAGCCTCACTGTGGCCAGGCCTGGCAGCAAACCCTCAGGGCCACCCAGCTGGCACACAGCTTTGACCTCCTAGGAACCACAGGGCCAACAAGTAGGGCACAGGACTTCCTGCTTTCTTGACAGATACCCCACCCTGTAAATGAATAACCTGGCATCTGGTCCGCTTATCATCTCTCAGCTGCTTGATTAGCCCCAGCAAGTCAGGCCCCTGAGCCCGCTGACCTGTGAGACTCTCAAAGAGGAGCTTCTGGGTCCCTCACCCACACCATCTGCAGCGTGATGACCTCACAACAGAGCTGCCCAAGGGTTGTTGGTCCTGGTGGCAGCTCTGCAAGCAGAGCTTATGGCTCCTTCAGCGGCAGCAGAGGTTCCCAGCTGGGGGAGGGGCAGAGCGGAATTCCCTGGGGGACCATTGGCAAAGTAGACCACTTCCTCCTTGATTCCCTCTGAGAATTATCAGTCCACAATGAAGAGCAACTCAGCTCAGGCTGCTGCTCAGGGAAGGAATGCTGCCCACTAGGTATGGCGTTGAGGATGTGATTTCTAAGCCTTTGCGTCAGATCTCTTCCATTCAAAGTAAACCCAGCACAAACTCCAGACGTCCACCAAGCAGTGGCAACCCCAGAAGAGAATTATCAAAGAGAGGTCATTTGACTCAAGCATCATTTTACATTTTTTATGCCTAATCACTACACAGGCCACACACACTCATAACCACACCCCACACACGCCCTCCCAGTGGTCCAAATTGATGCTGTCTGTGTACTCGAACCTCACCCAAGGCAAAATCCTCAGGCAGCCTGGACAGTAGGATCTCCACAAGTCTCCCTTTCCTGACTGAGTTTAATATTATTTGGCAAGTAGTTCCTGAGCAATTCCTGTGTGGGACCCAAACCCTCGCCAGGGAGAACCAAGTAGACACAGCTCTGGCCACTGTACAGCCCAAAGCCCATGACACAGGGGACAGGCAGCCCACTCAGCCATGGGAAGCCACCACTGTGGGGAAAGGCCCAGAACACCACAGGTCAGAGTCAATGGAGTCCTTCCTGAGAAGGGCTTCTCCACCCAGACACTGGGCAGCAGGCTGGAAGATGATACCAGGGACAGACTCTATGCTGGACCCTCCCCTGGCCCCAGACATTCTGGATTCACACATGGGTTTCCTCTGAGAAATGCCAGCCGGCGGCCATGCACAGTCTCCGGCCGCCAGCCGCCCCAGGGTCAGTTCCAGGGGAGAAATTGCTTTGGTTTAGGGTTTGCGAGTGAAAATAAACACTGGGTTTTATAGGTTCACCCGTGTTGGCTGCTGTTTTCCTTTCCAGCAGCTGCTCAATCAAGCCTTTCATTCAGCAGCCAGTGGCCTCTGAGGAAGCCCTGAGCAGTGCCCTCAAAGCTCAAGGGATGTTTATCTGGGGGAGGAGGTAGGGCTGGGATGGAAAGTGTGACGTCTCCCAGAGGCCAGTACCAGCCTGACCGTGTGCTGGCAGGAGCAGAGTGCGCGCTGGCTGCTAGCAAGGGTTCCTTGGAGGAGTTCCCTCCCTGCAGGTCCTTGGCCAGCATGACCCACAGAGGATAAGGGACCTTCCACTCGGGCCCCACCTCGCCCCTGACTACCTACAGGAACCCAACAACAACAACCCCACCTCCCACATCCTCCCCCAGAGGAAAAGCTGGCAAGGCTGTGGATTAGCCGCTTCTTTTTTCTCAAGGTACATATGTTCTAATTGTCAGAAAGCATCCTGGCAAAGTCTCCCAGGAATTTTCAGCTGCAGATAGCTGCCCACGGCCTGCCAGTCCCTGCATACTGATTTTGTGTATACTTTGCAGAGGGCACTCTCGGGACCTGGGACCCGAAGCTCAGAAGAGTAATGGCTCCATCCGCCCCATGCCTGGCTGCACCGGGCTGGAGAACAGGTGACTGAGAGGAGAGGAATGTGGGGAGGCATAGCTGCTGGGGAGGAGGAACCAGAGCAGTCCCCCACTTGGGGCAGGAGAGAGGCCAGAGAGGAGGTCAGGCAGATGGCTATAAGCTGCAAAGCCATTCTGTAAACAGAAGGTCATCCTCATTGAAGGGTGATATGTCACTTATCACTATTTTAATACAAGCAATTTAGTTAAGTTACCTAAGTTACAGTTTTTTTATCTGAAAAATGGGGATATTAAATACTCACTCCATAGGAGAGCTGTAAAGGTTACATGAAATAATGTCAATAAAGTGCTGGGGCTCACAGTGAGCACTTAATAGGTGTGATATTAAGTGCTACAGGTTCAAAGATAAGTCAGTGCCCCTTCCTGGAGGAGCTCACAGTCAGAGTGAGAAGGACGTGACAGAGACAGACGGCAACGCATCTGTGCAGTGGGCCAGGGCTCTGTGAGAAGCATCAGCGAGGCACTGGCCCAGCACTAAGGAAGCAACGACCAGCTCCGAGTGGGGAAGAGTTGGAGGGCGTCTGGGCTGGGTGTTGACAGATGAGTAGGTGTTTGCTGGGTTAAAAATAGGGAGGGAATGCATTCTAGGCAGAATGAACACAGAGTACAAAGGCCAGGAATATGGAAGAGCTGGACACACACTGACAGAAGTCGGTGAGGCCAGAGCTGGTGAACAGAGGGGAATTCCAGAAAGATGAGAGTGGCAAGTCGCAGCAGGCAGGTGACAAAGGCGTCTTCCAGGCTGAAGAGTTGGGGATTTATTTGTCAGTGTCAATGTTTGAAATCAGGGGAATGATGTGACCAGATCTGTCTGAGGCAGCGTGGAAGGTAGCAGGAGGCCAGGACATGACCAGGGTATCCAGATGGGAAGCTGCCAGTTCTCAGGAGCATCTCCAAGAGAGACTCAGGAGCCAGAATCAACAGGACTGGGTGACTGATGGTTGCCAACACGATGGGTAAGAGACGCACACTGGTGGGACACCACCATCAGAGGGAGAAACATGGAGGAGGCCTGGAGCCGGGTTGGAGTGGAGAGTGTGGGTCACAAGGAGTCCAATTTGGACAGGATGAACTGAGGTACCTTTGAAGCATCTAGGGGGAGAGACCTGACATGTGGCTGGACATAAGGGGCTCCTAGAAACTAAAGACCCAGGAGCTTCCCTGGCATGAGTGGTCACTGGAGGCCATGATGGGTGGGGGGCAGTGCCCAAAGAAGAGGACATAGAAAGACTCAGGAGTATCAGCCTTTAAGGGCAATGAAGCACCTGAGCAGGAGACCCAGGAGAGAAAGGGGTCCCAGGGGCCAAGGCCAGAAGGGCTTTCAGGAGGAAGGCACAGCCAACAAAGCCAAAGCCTGCAGAGGGATCAGACAGGCTACCGGACCCTGGCAACAGCAGTCACCTCCACAAACCCAACAAGCACAGTCCCCACCCGCAGGAGCAGCTCTGGGCTGTCTCCCCCATGGCCCGAGGCCTGCTGGCATGGTTCCCAGCTCTCAGCCACTGCTCCCGGGCTCTCCTCTTTTCTCCCACCTACCAGAAAAAGAGTCCTTGTCCATGGCAGGCAGGTCCCGGGCCTGGTACATGTAGCAGCGTAGATGGTAGCGGTTCCCGTCTGCACCAAGGAAGAAACAGATACCCGGTGAGGGGCTGTAGGTGGCCACGAGCTGGGACAGGAGGGGAAAGTGGAAGGGCAGCTGACAGAGGGGCTGAGAAATAGAAATGACACAAGTCACACAGTACAGCAGTGAGCCACTCACAGGATCAGAACAGACCACAGCTCAGATAGAGGCCTGAGTGACATGCCCTGGGACCTGGCAGAGCTGGGAAGAGGGGACAGAGGAGGAGGAGGAGAGCCAAACAGATAGATGACAGAGGCAGCAGAATGCACGGGCCTTGCATGCCCCATTTCAAGCTCCAAGTAGATGCACACACCTCACTGAGACAGGTGTGTGGGCACACGGGTACACACACACACGCCAAAAGACACTGACCCCCCAAACAAAGCCACAGGCTCAGTTCTTCACACCCCCACATACACAAGCAAACACACCATGGGACCTCATATAGACGTGAGTGGAAGGTCACACACCCACTCACAGAACCCTCTGGGTACCTCCAAGCAGCACTTACAGTCGAAAATGCAGGAAATTGTGGGTCTGTTCACCCCAAAGCTCAAGGTAGACACAGACATGGCATCTTCACTCTTGTCATCCACCACGCCGCCCTGCAAACAGAGCTAGTCATGGCAGATTCTGACCCCGGAGCCCAGGGGGTGGCCGGGATACTAGTCCAGAGAGTTGGGTCTCCTGGGCGGGAGACCTCTAGATGAACCCCTTGGCTGCCCAAGAGGTGGGCCATCAGCCTCTAATTCTGCTCTAGGGCAGTGTGTCCTCTCCTACAGCATCCCCAAACTCTGAAGTCAAGTCCACAGGGAAATCCTTCTCCTTCTCTAGTGGAGGCCAGGCAAGCCAGAATGGAATTTTGAGTTGTTCCAGCTCAAGAGGTTAGACTTTGCTAGAAGGAAGGACCCTGAGGTTCTCTGGGAGAACCCAGTGGGGGTCTGCCCACTGGGCTGAGTTAAGAGAAGCCAAAGTCTGGAGGGCCCAGGTTAGCCTCTCTGCCCCCACCCCAGCCCCGCAGATCTGGAGATAGTGCTGGTGCCAGGTGCACACAGGCACAGAGCTGGGCCCCAGTTCCAGCAGGGGCTCCCTGCCTCCTCTCCACCTCTCACCAGCTTCCCCTGCACTGAGGGTGAAAGAGGGCCCGGGATGAGCTGGGAAGGGGACAGGGGCACGAGGCACAGTAGGCTCACTACAAGGCTCGGAAGCCAGTCTGTCGGGGTACTGTGCACAAAGCCAGATGGCCATTCCCCTCACATAGTCTCATTGGTCCTGGGCTGTAACCACTTGATAATAAACCATCTCCCTGGGGCAGTTTTCCCCACCACCTCTGCCACACTGCAGCCCCTCATCAGGACCCTGCAGAGTTTGGAGGGCTTGGAGACCTAGCAAGGATCAAGGTCCCCACAAGCACAGGAAAGACACCAGTCCTACCCCAGTCCAGCCCCTCAGACATGGCTTTCTATGCATCAGCCCACCAGCCCATAGCCCGGAGCCCAGCAGAAGGGCTGAGGGGAGCTGAATGTTCCAGTGCTGCTCACTCCCCCTGCAGTTATGTGGGTTTCTCCAAGCCACACCCCTCTCTCCCCACACTGTCACCTGCCCCACTTCCTAGCCTAGTCCCTCTTCCTAATATATAAGCACATACACCCCTGAGAGAAAACCTGGCCTCCCCTCTGACGGCTGCCTACCCCACCCAGGCCCATCCAGAGTGACCACTTCCCAGGGCCTTTCTGCTGGGCCACCCTGACTTTCATTTGGCTATACACATTTCCCAGGTATCTCCACCTCTCCTCTGGCCCAGGGCCTCCAAATGCAAGATCCACAGCCACTTGTGTGCCCCATCTCTCCACAATATGCCCACTCTTAAGGCCTCCCCAGACACCTTGTCCAAGAAGCCTCCCTGGACACCTGCCCTCCCACTTCTCATCTGTCCACACCCAGAGCCAGAACCAGCAGCATTACCCACAGTCACTACTTGGCTCCCCAGCCCAAACCTTTTGGGGACTTCCACTACCTAAAGGTCATGATCAGACCTCTGGTGATCTGCCCCACCTTCCCCATCCAACAACAGGACTTACTTCCCCAAGCCCTGCCCTCAGATTCAGGGAGGACCCACTCCTCAAAGCGGCCCAGACTCACACCTGCTCCCATCGCAAGCTCATGCTGTTCCCTAGCCAGAAGAGTCACCAACCACCCCATCTTCCCCATCCTCAGGTGACCTTAGCTCACCCAGAGGAAGGACTAAGGCCACTAAGGGTCAACAAAGAAATGCATCCTAAAGGTAGGCGGGGTGTTCTTCTACTCCATCCCTGCAGAAGGATCCATAATACACACATGCAGGAAATACACATCCATCCGCTCTCCCAGGGGACTCACCAAGGTCCTGCTACAACTGGGCAGTCTCTGGCTCCCACCACCCTAATAAGAAGATACAGTGACCCCATCTTTTGGCCACAACTTCAGTACAAGCCCTAGAACCAGATTCTCCTGGGCTCCAATTCTGGCCCTGCCATTTACTGGCTGTGTGAGCTGCTTTGGGCAAGCTGCTTAACCTCTCTGAACCAGTCTCTCTGTAAACTGGGATAATTCTATAGTATCTATCTCAGAGAGTTGCTGTGATTGTTAAGGAGATAATTTCATGTTCTTAGGCACACCACCAGGCACATAATAAATGGTCAACAATGTTTGCTGTAATGATCTTATGAGAGAAATAATACACAAGCAAAATAGGGCAAAATTGGACATAAACTATGAAGTCACCAGTTGTGTCAGGAGTGGTATTCATATATCCCGTATTTATTCAGAATTATTCCAGGAGCTGGAAGAGTGGATATTTCAGGAGCCACAGTCCTGGGCACAAGTCAAAATCAATCAAGAAAACAGTCTCAACACACACATATCCCAACATAGAACACCCCACACAGAAAAACAGAATAACAGGGAAGGTGTCCCAGGATAGTCAGAAGGACACAAAGGCCACCACATAGGAAATCCTCCTTCCTGGGCAGGCACGGACCCCAGGCATTCTGAGTTCCCAGCAGGAGAGGCGTCTGGCCTGGCCGAGCTGCGCTGGTATCCCAGGGTTAATGGCTCCCAGTTTCAGGGTCTGTGAGGCCGTACACAGGGCTGGACCCAGGGGCGCCCAGTAGGCTACCCTTAACGTCAGCTGCTGGGACACCAAGGAAAGCAGATCAGGACACTGGAAGCACAGCTTGGCCAGTCCCCGGGAGCAATAGCCCAGAGCTCACACAGTTTAGTTGTGCTTGGGTGGGAGGTTCAGCTGGCGGAATGATGGAAGCCCAGGAGGTGGCAGCCCCTCAGCTCAGGGCCCTCCCTGCTGGCAGACTGCTGCCAGTACACATCCCCACTCACCTCGCACCTCCACTAGCAGCCTCCCCCTAGCTACCTCCCGTCAGCACCACTCCCACCAGAAGGGTCTGTCTGGGGTTTGGCAGCACTTTCTGGGTCTCTGTCCAAGGGCAGGCTGCCCGCCTGCAATCAGAAAAGGTGTCCCCCTGCATGGGATTCCCACAAAGGCCAGTGCCAGGTATCTCAGGCCCAGCTCAGTGCCTGGCCCACAGCAGGCCCCCGCACTGTGAATGACTGTCCTGCAACATACTGCCTACAGGAATGCCCCCCACACTGCCTGGGTTCCTCCACCTGTCCTGCCTCCAGAGGAAGGGCCACAGCCACCTCACCCCTGCTCCTCAGGACCCCCTGCCATTCCCACTCCCATCTGTAGCCAAGTGTGAACACACCTCCCCCTTCCCTTCCCCCTGCAACTCAAGGAGACAGACAGAGATACCTGGGAAGGAACAGGGAGAACCAGCAGCTGGGCTGGGGGCACCCACTCAATTCAGGCTCTCCCAGCAAAGCCCTGGCCCTACAGCCACACTGGCTCCATGTGCACAGCCTCTGGTCCCCTGGCCCTCCCAGGAGGACCTGAGCTCCCCTAGCCCAGCTGTGGCCTCTGAACTGAGTCCCCAGCAATCAGGACACTCCTAAAAGCCCACACCCCTGCTGGCTCCCATGCTTAAACCAGCTGGGACCCTCTTGCTTCCCAGCTCTTACCCCCATGCCTTCTGCACGTAGGTCTCTCTGCCCCATTCTTTCCCTGGCTTTTTCTTCAGGTGTCCAGTCTCACTTTCAAGAGCACCCCACAAGTGCTTAACACCCTTCCTGCATGCTCCCATGGTGCCCTGAATTCCCTTACTGCATTTACCACCTCCACTGTAAATTCCTCTTTCCCTGTCTGTCTCTCCCTGAGAGCTCTGAGGCTCCCATCATGTGCTCAGAACACCTCACACGCAGTAGGTGCTCAATAAATAATTGGAGAACAAGTGAATGAATGAACAAATGAGCACACGCCTTGGGAGAGCACAACTGCATAAGCCTCAGGGAGAGCTCATGGCAAAGGCCTGCACATCGCCCAGGCTGGGATCAGTCTGTGCATTAACACAGAAATCCACGTCATGCCTCCTTTGCTTGGAAGCATATTTGGGTTTTCACATGTGGACATGCACTGCTCCTACTCAAGGAATTTCCCTCAAAGCCAACCATGAAGCCTCAGGAAAACCTGATCTGGGAGCTTCCAGAAAGCACCTCCCTCAGGTCACTCCTTTCCTCCAACATTTTTCCTGTGTTTATCGAGCACCTACTTTGTGCCAGGCTTTTCCCACATTCAAGTAGGAAGATGTGTATTATTGCTCATGGAAATATGAAATGTCCCTTCCCCAGAAAGGCCATCCCTGACCAAACTGTTAAAAGCCACACTTACATGCACCCTCACATGCACACTTCCACCCTCCCTCCCAACACTCCCCACAGACTCAACCCTGCACATCAGTGCACACACCCCAGGCTCACATGCACCCACCTGACCCTGTCTACCCTCTTCTGCAGCTTTGTTTTCCTATAGCACTCGCTACTCCAGACATTTGATACATGAGTATTTTCATTCACTGTCTACCTTGCCCCTGAAACACGGGCTCCAAGGGCACTACTGTGCCCTCACACCTACACGGGGCCTGGTACAGAGGGGCCCTTGGTAAATATTTGCTGGATCAATGACAAAACCCCAGCTGAGTCCCCATCTTGGTAAGTGTCTCTCTCAGCACACAATCACCCTTCCTCTGGAGGGACTTGTTTGGGGATAAAGGAACATTTTTATCCTTTAAATGAGCTGAGCCTGACCGGAGAGAAGGACCCCCAAGAAAGCAATGCTGTAGGCAGAGGGGAGGAGAGATGTAAGCAGGGCCGGCAGTGGGGGACCCAGGAGGCTGCGTTCACAGCCACCCCCAGCTCCATGGTCCTCACATGCCCAGGAGCTACGCTGGAGCTGAGAACACACAGCTGAGGGCTGACTGACAGGGGCTTTTACTGCCTTCATTTCAGAGGTGGGAAAACACACGGGCAAAGCAGCTCCCTTCTGGTGCAGCAGAAGAGGGGCCTGCAGACCCTTAAAACTTGGAATGGGTAGCGGCAGTTCAGATCGCACACAGAGTGGAAATGCACTCATTCACTTCACAGACCCTGACGCTCTGATGTGGCTAATAACCAGCTTGTCATTCCCGGGCAAAGGACCCCATGTTGGGCACCAGGA